GTGGGAACCTGAGCGTCAGAAATGGACCATGGAGCTATGGAAGAATTCTGAACATAATGATAATAGCACCACGTTTGAAAATAGTAACAAGTTCATGTAGCCTTAGTTAAGTAAAAAGATGACACATAGGATAAGAACAATGAGATCTGATAATCAGTGAATTAACAGAGTCTAGAAAAACATTATTCCTTTGTATCCTTTGAAGTTCAAAATATTATCTTAAACAATGCAATTAAAGACTTACCTAGACTTAAGGATAAATGTATTATAGATTAGATATGGAGTGAATGGTGGATACTTTCTAGAAATTAGATCTGTAGCAGGCATTTATAGCCTGGTATTAGAACAAATATACGGATCTTAGAATTAAACATAAGAGTTTGATATTTTTGCCAAACACAAACAGTATCATTATATGTAATTTGAACTTATTTTTAGTTTATAATGATTAAAAAATGGTGATTACAATTATAGTAATATATGTAAGTAAAATAGGTTACTTACATTTTAACACTGAATTATTAAACTAAAGGGAAACAAATCACTAACACAAAGAATAAGGTAATTTTTGGAGATTTTTTTGGATAGATTGATTACTTGATAATATTAAAAAAAACACAGAAGTTTGAGTAGTAAAAAGGGATCATCACGTTGAATACAATAGTTGAAGAAGAGATAATGAAATACGTGAACACTAATAATTTATTTTTATTGTAATAATACAATTAGGACCAAGTAAATTAGTTTTTTCACATAAGACAAGAATAACGGAATAAATATCACTATATTTGAGGTATTATAAGTGTAAGTTATTCACGCAGGATTATTAATAAGAATTAAAATTATAAATACTTTTAGTAAAAATTTAAGAGGTAGAATTGATATGCACAATATTCATTATAAAATATAACTCCACTGTCCATGGAAATACTAGATCAAAATTGTTCCGCTGGTGGGATTGAACGATCACTTGGTAAAAATATAAATTTGATGACAAGGATAAACTAGCATGGAATTATTAAAATGAGTGTTGTGAAGATTATCACCACCAGCGCTTGATTACCCCTGGAATTATATGTATGTACCTCAGGGGAACCGCCTAATAGTTTTTATCAGAGGTGGAGAGATGTATTTTTGGTATTTAAGTATGCATGTTTTATATAGTTTGTTTAAGTGTTCATGGGTTCATACTGATGGGTTCCGCGGGGTGTTTGGGAGGGTGAGAATAGCTTATAGAGATCGTATTTTGAGTAATTCAGACGTGTCTAAAGCGGAAAAGCAAAGGAAATACATCTATGTCAATTAATATCTTCCATAAATGCCCAGGGATTGAATAATCTAATAAAAAGGGGTATATTGTAAAGAAAATTGATAGAAGATAATATTGACGTATGTTTTATACAAGAATCCCACCGGAAAGACAATTCTGAAGATCAATGGAAATTTTCTAGGTATCCAACTGTTTTGTGTGCTAATCTAAGGGAGGGGGATTGCACGCATCTGCTCAATAAAAATTAAATGTGAATTATTATTTATAGAGAAAGATTTTAATAGTAGATATTTGATAGTAATTTGTAAATTAGATTATATAATATTCACTTTAGTGAATGTATGTGCTCCAAATGAGTTCTCTCAAAATTTCTATACAAATTTGGGTAATAAGGTAGACAAAATTAAAAAAGGCATATTATTGATGGGGAGAGATTGGAATACTGTCTTAAATGAAAAATGGGATAGGAAATCATTTATAGCTTGTGAAAAAATGACAGTCTATAAAAAAGGGCAGAATGGCTTCAAATTATTTTTAATTCATTTGATCTCTACGATATGTAGAGAGTTTAACACCCTAGTGAAAAGGATTACACTTTCTTTTCTAAAGTCCATAATAGCTATTCTCGAATAGAATTTTTTAACTGATTCAATAAACTTGACAAACTTTATAGACTCCAAAATAGACTTAATAAGTTGGACAGATCACACCCCAATTGAGGTTAAAATTAAAAAAGACTCGGACTATAAAACTAATTATCAATGAAGAATTGATAAAACTATCTTTTAGATAAAGTAAATAGAGATCATTTGGTCTCACTGGCTAAAGAATTTCTCGAATTTAACGATAAAGGCAATGTTACTAATGAAACATTATGGTCAACATTTAAATGTGTAACGAGAGGCAATTTAATTCAGTTAGAAGCTAGAAGAAAGGTAAACAAAGGAGCTGAATTATTAGATCTATATATAAAAATCGCCAATACTAAACAAAATAATAAAAAAAATCCCTCTATACAATTAGCTACCCAAATTAAAACAATTCTACAGCAGATAAATTTATTGCTCACAAACAGAGTTAAAAGAATGATTTTATCTTCCAAACAGAAATGGTACTTTAGTAGTAAGCAGGGAAATTATTATCGAAAAAACTTAAAACAGGAAATAATAAACTTCCAATAAAAAAGATTATAGAAGGAACTCGAACCCTTCTTTCCCCACAACAGATTGGGAACGCCTTTACAAATTATTATTCATTTCTTTATAATCTACCTAGTAGTAGGCTTACTAATAGCAAGTTTATTTCATTTTTTTAATAAAATCACTCCCCTCTGGTTAACTGCTAACCTAGCGGAGTTGGATATATGAGAACAAAAGGTGCTGAGGGCACTGCTCAAAGAGCTTTTATTCTTTTTTTCCCACAATTTATTTATTATGGAGTTTAAACATCTTTTACAATAAAAATGAACAATAATAATAGAAAAAGGAAAGTTGGAAAAACATAAAGCAACGTGAAACCATGGATGGGGGGAAAAACATACATTCCTAAGACTATAGTGTCCATCTACATATTGTTGTATACCAACAGCCATGTAAGGGTTTGAAGAGTGAGTATTACTTTCCTTTCATTCCTCGCCATGTCAATTTTC